TGACAGCGAAATTTCGCCGTGTGGGAAAATTTGCGTTTCGCTTGGGACATCCTTGGACAAATGAAATGACGACTGAAGTCTTTAACTAACTCTTATGTTAAGAATTGCGATTTCGCTAGGGACATCCTCAGAAAACGAGCGGCAGCACGGCGGACCAGAACGAAGAGCACGGCAGAAAATTTGCATTTCGCTAGGGACGTCCTCAACAAAATGAGATGTCCTCAACGTCGTCTTGATATCGTTCTCGGAGTACCTCAAGATGACGAAATGAGAGGGCAAAAAGCACGTCAAGATGGCTGTCAGAACGATTGGGGGACTTCCGAAAATAGCGATTTCGCTAGGGACATCCTCAAAAAGTGAACACATACACCAGCATCGACTTGAAAACTGTTGTTCTTACATAGTTTTGACATTGCTTCTGAAAAGGCTTCCAGACGGCCCAAGGCAGCCTTCAAAAAATGTCGATTTCGGTAGGGACATCCTGAAAAAAATGATGCGTGCGACATCGCATCGTAATGATTTTAGGAGGGCATCAGGAAGCAAAAGAAGGCCACAACATGGCTCCAAGAGCGCCCTTAAGGTTGCTGAACATAGTGATTTCGCTAGGGACATCTTAAACAAAAACAAATCGAACAACATCGTTTTGAAAACTGCTGTTTTAACATCGTCTGGGGGTCGCTCCTGAAAAGGCTTCTAGATGGTTTAAGCCAGTCATCTAAAAATGGCGATTTCGCTATGGACATCCTGAAAAAATGGCATCGGACTGTAACGGTTTTGTAAGAGGCATCAAGAAGGCCCCCAAAGGCCCCAAACAAGCCCAAATTTGACCCCCAGGATCGCCCTCGAGACGATCCAAAATGGCGATTTCGCCTGAGACATCCTTACAAAAATGAAATGTTCACAACATCGATTTCATCAAACATGAGCGTTTCGCCTGAGACATCCCTTAAACATGGGAAGCCGCGAATTCGACAGATGTTCAAAAACTAGCGTCTCGCCTGAGACATCCTAACAACAATTATATCTCGGAGTGGTGTTTTAACTACCTCTCGTGTTAAACATCGCGCTCTCGCTGCATACATCCTCAAACAAATCGGGCGGAGCATGGCCGGCGAAAAAAGTGCTCCTTCGCTCTTGACGTCTATTCTGCCGTGCTCCTTCGCTCACGGGGTCTATTCTGCAATGCTTGTTGTTTTTTCTGTGCCGTGCTCCTTCGCTCTACGGGCCTATTCTGCCATGCTCCTGGCCATTTTCTGTCACAATCCTTTGTTCTTGGGGCTTATGATGCCGAGCTCCTGGTCGTTTTCTGCCGTGCTCCTTAGCTCTTGGGGCATATTCTGCCGTGCTCCTTCGCTTTCGGGGTTTATTCTGCCGTGCTCCTTGTGTTTTTCTTGCATGCTCCTTCTTCCTTGGGGCGTATTATGCTGTATTCTTGCATCTATCTTGCCGTGCTCCTTAGCTCTCGCGGTCTATTCTGCCGTGCTCCTGGTCACTGGTCGTGTTTTGCAATGCTCCTTCTTTCCTGGCGCCTATTCTGCCGTGCTCCTCAGCTCTTGGGGTCTATTCTGCCGTGCTCCTGTTTTTTTCTGTCATGCTCCTTCGCTCTTGGGGCCTTTTCCGCCGTGCTCCTCAGCTCTTGGGGTCTATTATGCCGTGCTCGTTGTTTTTGTTTCTGCCGTGCTCCTTCGCTCATGGGGCCTATCCTGCCGTGCTCCTGGTTTTTTTTCTGCCGTGCTCCTTAGCTCTGGGGTCTATTCTGCTGTGGTCCTGGTCTTTTTCTGCCGTGCCCCTGAGCTCTGGGGGTCTATTCTGCCGTGCTCCTGGTCATTTTCTGCCGTGCTTCTTCGCACTTGAGGCATATCCAGCCCTGCTCCTTAGCTCGTGGGGTCTATTCGGCCGTGCTCCTGGTCTTTTTCTGCCGTGCTCCTTCGCTCTTGGGGCCTAATCTGCCGTGCTCCGGGTCTTTTTTTCTGCCTGCTCCTTAGCTTTTGAGGTCTAATCTGCTTTGGTCCTGGTCTTTTTTCTGCCGTGCCCCTGAGCTCTGGGGGTCTATTCTGCCGTGCTCCTGGTCATTTTCTGCCGTGCTTCTTCGCATTTGGGGCATCTTCTGCCGTGCTCCTTGTCTCTTGGGTTCTATTCTGCCGTGCTCCTCGTCTTTTTCTGGTTTGCTCCTTCGCTCTTCGGGCCTATTCTGTCGTGCTCCTGGTCTTTTCTGTCGTACTCCTTGGCTCCTCGGGCCTTTTCTGCTGTGTTTCGGTCTTTTCTGCCGTCGTCCTTAGCTTTTGGGGCATCTTCTGCTGTGCTCCTGGTCTTTTTCTGGCGTCTTTTTCGCTCTTGGGGCCTATTATGCCGTGCTCCTTAGCTCTTGGGGTCTATTCTGCCGTGCTCCTGGTCTTTTTCTGCCGTGCTCGGCAGCTCTTGGAGTCTATTCTGCCATGCTCCTGGTTTGTGTCCGACGTGCTCCTTCGCTCATGGGGCCTATTCTGCTGTGCTCCTGGTCTTGTCTCGCCGTGTGCCTCCTGCTTTTCTTGCCTGCTCCTTTCGCACTAGGGACATATTATGCCGTGTTCTTTTGTCTCTTGGGTTCATTCTATTATGTGTGCCCTCGTCTTTTTATTGGGTTGCTCCTTCGCTCTTGGGGGGGTCTATTTTCCCGCCACCCCTTCAGGATCTCGGGGTCATTATCTGGCGTGCTTCTGTTTTTTTTTTTTACCTGGCCGTGCTCCGGCCTCCTGGGCCTTATTCAGCCCAGATTGGGCCGCATTATCTGCCGTTGATTCTTAGACTTTGTGGGGATATCTGCCGTGCTCCTGCGTCTTTCTCTGCCGTACTCCTTCGCACTTGAGGCATATCCAGCCCTGCTCCTTCGCTCCTGGGGTCTATTCTGCAGTGCTTCTGGTCTTTTTCTGCCGTGCTCCTTCGCTCTTGGGGCCTAATCTGCCGTGCGCCTGGTCTTTTTTTCTGCCGTGCTCCTTAGCTCTTCGGGTCTAATCTGCCGTGGTCCTGGTCTTTTTCTGCCGTGCCCCTGAGCTCTGGGGGTCTATTATGCTGTGCTCCTGGTAATTTTCTGCCGTGCTTCTTCGCACTTGGGGCATCTTCTGCCGTGCTCCTTGTCTCTTGGGTTCTATTCTGCCGTGCTCCTCGTCTTTTTCTGGTTTGCTCCTTCGCTCTTCGGGCCTATTCTGCCGTCCTCCTGGTCTTTTCTGTCGTACTCCTTGGCTCCTCGGGCCTTTTCTGCTGTGTTTCGGTCTTTTCTGCCGTCGTCCTTAGCTCTTGGGGCATCTTCTGCCGTGCTCCTGGTCTTTTTCTGGCGTCTGTTTCGCTCTTGGGGCCTATTATGCCGTGTTCCTTAGCTCTTGGGGTCTATTCTGCCGTGCTCGTGGTCTTCTTTCTGCCGTGCTCGGCAGCTCTTGGAGTCTATTGTGCCATGCTCCTGGTTTGTTTCCGACGTGCTCCTTCGCTCATGGGGCCTATTCTGCTGTGCTCCTGGTCTTTGTCTGCCGTGCTCCTGCTTTTTTTCTGCCGTGCTCCTTCGCACTTGGGGCATATTATGCCGTGTTCCTTGTCTCTTGGGTTCTATTATGTTGTGCTCCTCGTCTCTCTCTGGTTTGATCCTTCGCTCTTGGGGTCTATTTTCCCGCACTCCTTCAGCTCTCGGGGTCTACTCTGGCGTGCTTCTGTTTTTTTTTCTGCCGTGCTCCTTCGCTCTTGGGGCCTATTCTGCCGTGCTCCTGGTCATTCTCTGCCGTGCTCCTTAGCTTTTGGGGTCTATCCTGCCGTGCTCCTCGTCTTTCTCTGCCGTACTCCTTCGCACTTGAGGCATATCCAGCCCTGCTCCTTAGCTCCTGGGGTCTATTCTGCCGTGCTCCTGGTCTTTTTCTGCCGTGCTCCTTTGCTCTTGGGGCCTAATCTGCCGTGCTCCTGGTCTTTTTCTGCCTGCTCCTTAGCTCTTGAGGTCTATTCTGCCGTGCTCCTGGTCATTTTCTGCCGTGCTCCTTAGCTTTTGGGGTGTATTCTGCCGTACTCATTTGCTCTTGGGGTCTATTCTGCCGTGTTCCGTGTCTTTCTCTGCCGTGCTCCTTCGCTCTTGGGGCCTATTCTGCCGTGCTCCTGATCTTTTTCTGCCGCGTGCGCCCAGAAGCTCTGCCAAAACGACCACCGCGACGATCCGCATGGCAGATACAGGAACACGGCAGAACACACAGAGCACACAGAGGCACGGCAGAACACAGAAGCACGGCAGAACAGGAGCACGGCATAACACACAGGAGCACAGCAAAACACACCCCGCACGCACGCCGACACGCACGCCACGGCATACCTGCGCGGCATAACGACAACAGAGCATTTTCCACATGCTTGGTGGACTAAAGCGACGCTTCCCGTTCTTTTCCGGTCAGGTTTCACGCGCTGGGAGACCCGCGAGGGGTCGGCGGATTTTGGCCTCTCGGGGCCCTCCAGGGAGTGCTCTCGGAGGCCTCTTGGGGCGTTTTGGAGGTGCCTTGGGCCACCTGGAGGGCATCGTGGCAAGTCCAGACGCCATCCGGGGCCGTCTCGGGGCACTCTTGGACCCTCGTGGGCTTTTCTGAAGAGTTCCGTGGTCTGTTTCGGGTCAACTTCGACGGGGTCACCGTCCCAGAGGCCCACGCGACACGCCCTGGTAGCGCCCGGGACCGCCTCGAAAATCAGGAGCCCAGGCCTGCAACAACCCTTCTACCTCTCAGGGCTGCATGGACCTTGGGGCAATCCACTCAGTGCCAGAGGCACGGTGCCGAATGGTCGCCCCCATGACGAGCACCCGACCAGTTTCCAGATACCGGCTTATCACAAGGTCTTCGGCCCCGTGCTGCGATTGAGATCGTGGTTTCTCGGCGTCCGCAAGCATGCTCGCATGATGCGCATGTCGTAACATTGACCTAGGGACATCAGTTCTTCGGAATTGATGTTGGTCAATGCAGAACCCTCTTGCTTGGGACTGGTCATGTTATCCTCGCGCCAAGGTAATATTCCGAAATTGGAGCTGAACCTCACTGGGCTGGCGAACGTCGTGCCCAAGAGGACGGCGGCAAATTCGGAGCGCGGTCGTGCACAGGGGAGGTGATCGAAATGAGATGGAGCACGAGGTATCAACGGGAGAGAAGAGAAGCATAGACAATGTGGACACGTGTGTGCGCATGCCAGAAAGATGAGAGGAACTTGTAGGCGATGCGTGGGCGGATTCTGGCGCTTCACGAGGGTGGCGCGGCAACGAGCTGGACGAAGTGGGGGCACGCCAGAGGATGCAAGGACGGGAGGGGATGAGAGCGGGGTAAGGAGAGATGGCGAGGAGGGGGGCGACAGGGAGCCCTCCAGAAACTGGGACATACGAATGGCTGCAGCCCTCTCTTGTTTCCACGTGCTCTCCCCGCGCACTGCCATACGGATCCGTCGCACGAGCCTGTGCTCCGTCTTCCGTTGATGTTCCTTCCGATCGTTGGCCTAGGATTATGTCGGGCGTGTCCCCCTACAGGGGGATTTTCGACGAACAATAAAACATACCCCAGAAATAGTCAAAACATAGTCCAAGAATAGTCCGGCCGGAAACCAATTTCTGAGCATTTGTGTTACCATTTGGGAGTATTTGTTGCGCATGTTTGATTTTTCGTCGAGAATCCAAAAACAGTCCGGGGACCAATTTTTGAGCATTTGTGTTACCATTTTGGAGTTTTTGTTTGTGCATGTTTGATTTTTCGTCGAGAATCCCCCTGCAGGGGGACACGCCCGCCTTAAGCCTAGGACGAGGTTGGCCCGAGGCAGAGCAGGAGCGCGCGCCGATCCCGGGCCCGGGAGGCGCTTGGCCAGGCGTGCTGCCGCAGGGTGGTCGGCGTCATTGTCTCCGCCTCCTACACCTGCAATCACTCAGCACTCAACCCACTACTCCGCCCTCCTCTAATACCCCTCCTAACTCCTCGCCTCCCTCCGCCCCTTCTCCTTCCTCCTCCTCCTCCTCCTCCTCCTCCCTCTCCTCATCCTCCTCTCCACTCCCATCCTCCTCTCTCTCCTCCTTCTCCTCCTCCTCCTCCTCCGCCTCCTCCTCCTCCGCCTCCTCCTCCTCCTCCCCCTCCTCCCCCCCCCCCTCCGCCGCCTCTCCTCCGCTGCCCCCGCCGGCAGTCCCCCCGCCGCCGCTCGGCCGCGCGCCCGGCAGGACGCTGAAGTCCGCCCTCAAGAAGAGCTTGAGGACCGGGGCGGACGAAAGGGGGGGATTTGGGAAAGGGGGGATTTGGGAAAGGGGGGGGTTCGAACGAAAGCTGGACGAAAGGGGGGGGTTCGAACGAAAGCCGGGTCGGGCCGGACGAAAGGGGGGGGGATTTAGGAAAGGGGGGGGGGACGAAATCTGCTGCATGCAGCTGGTTTCGGCCTCACCGAGGGGATTCGGGCGCCGATCCAAGAGCTCGGCGCGGACGCCGGAAGGTGATGATTCTGCCAGCGTTCCCTCCTCTACGCCGGAGGGAGCAGCACACAGACGGGAACATTCGTCGCTTCCCACGGCGATGTGGAGCATGTGTGGAGTGGAGGGGGCGATCGGGCCGGACGAAAGGGGGGATTTGGGAAAGGGGGGGGGTACGAAATCTTTTGCATGCAGTTGGTTTCGGCCTCACCGAGGGGCCCATTCATTCCTCGATGCATGGGCGCCTCCCAGCGCCGAGAAAATCAGCTGCGTGAGCTGGTTGTCAAACCACCCCTTTGCTATCCCCCCCTTTCGCCCGACCCGAGTGGGGATCCGAAAGGCGTTGGTGGGTTCGACGCTCGAGTGGAGCAAAGCATGTTTGTTCTCTGTGTGTGTTGTCAGGTCGTCCGTTTCCGCGTTCAAGCAATTGCTCTTCGCCCGCGGCATCCGAGGCTAGAAATGGAGAACTCAAAGCGCACCATGTATCAGGAGGGGAAAAACACACACAGACACAATTAATTGTCGATCCCCTAGAAAATATGGGAAAATGTGGGAAGCGGTGGGGAAGACAAAAACCCAGAAAATATAGGATAATATGGGGGATATTTTTATTTGTGTGTATTTATTCGTGTGTCCCAGGGCCCCTTCAATGTAGTCATAGTCCCGCCAGGTCTTCAGAACCCCCCACCCACTGCTTGGAAACTAACTTTCTTTCCGGCGACCTTATGAACGGACTGGGGCCCCACCTAGTGGACAATGATTATTTCTCCGCGGCGGCACCCGCCGCACAACAACGACGACGATAACGACGACGAGGGCGACGACGACGACGACGACTACGACTACGACTACGACTACGATTCGACTACGACTGCGACCACGATACCTACGACTGCGACTACAACTACGACTACGAGTGGTTGGCGACCACGGCGAATGTTACGACTACGACTGCCACTACGACTACTTGCCACTACGATTACGACTATGACGACTACTTCTACTACTACTACTACTACTACTACTACTACTACTACTACCACTACCACTACCACTACCACTACCACTACCACTACCACTACTACTACCACTACTACTACTACTACTACTACTACTACTACTATTACTACTACTACTACTACTACTACTGCTGCTGCTACTGCTGCTACTGCTGCTACTACTACTATATTACGAGTGCAACAACAACTACTACTACTACTACTACTACTACTACTACTACTAGTACTACTACCACGACTACTACTACTACTACTACTACTACTACTACTACTACTACTACTACTACTACTACTACTACTAACTACTAACTACTAACTACTAACTACTAACTACTAACTACTAACTACTAACTACTAACTACTACTACCACTCTCTATTATTATGATTATACTAATCCTACTACAATTACCTTACGGAATACTACGACTACTACTACTCTACCATGACTTCTCTAATACTTATTAATTACCCCACGTACTACTACTACTTACTAATACTGCTACTACTACTACTACTACTACTGCACTATCTACGACTGCGACTACTGCTTCTACAACGTACTACCAAGTGCTACTTTACTGCTACTACTACTACAAACTACTACTCTGCTACACTACTAATACTACTACTACTACTACTACTACTACTATACTACTAATACTAACACTACTTTACGACGACTACTACTACTACTACTACTGCTACTACTACTACTACTACTACTACTACTACTACTACTACTACTACTACTACTACTACTACGTTACTACTACTACTACTACTACTACTACTACTACTACTACTACTACTACTACTACTACTACTACTACTACTACTACTACTACTACTACTATTACTACTACTACTACTACTACTACTACTACTACTACTACTGCTACTCATGCCTCAGGACCGTCCTCACGGAAAATCCTAGCTCAGAATGCGATTATCAGAAGCTCCACATTCAGAAGTTCCATCCGATTGCAAGTTTCATGAGAACTTGCTCAACAGTCCTCTCACGTGTGGGGTAGCCCACGGTGCATTAGTCAATGGGATACAGAACCACCACGAAAGAATATCCAGCCACCGAACATCAGTGGGAATGTATTCCCATGGTCCACCAGGTGCTGACATGGCTCCAGCAGCAGTTTTGCCAATAGGAAGACTAGTTTGAGGCAGCTCGTGACCAAAAACGATGTACAGTTTTATTGCAATCCTCAAGAGAAGATGCTCAACATTCCTCTCACGTGTGGGGTGGATGGCCCACGGCGGATTTCATTGCTGGGAGTAAGAAAAACCAAATAATATCCAGCCATCGAAGATTAGTAGGGAATTATTGCCCTTGGTTCCCCAGTCGCTGACCAAGCGCCAGCAGCAGCTAGGCCAGCAGCAATAGGAAGATCAGTTTGATGGAACTCGCGACTCAAAACGATGTACATGGTCATTGCATTCCTCATGAGAAATGGCTCAAGCATCCTCTCGCGCATGGGGTGGCCCACGGCGGACACTCCGCTGGGGAAGAGAACCACCCAATAATATCCAGCCAACCGAGCATTCAAAGATTTCCCCTGTCGCCGCAGGCGCTGACCAGGCGCCAGCAGCAGCTCTGCCAGCAGCAACAGGCAGGCGAGTTTGACAACACTCGCCAAACAAAACGATGCACATTCCCATTGCAATCCCCATGAGGATTTGCTTAACATTCTTCTCAGGAAGAGGAGGAGGAGGAGGAGGAGGAGGAGGAGGAGGAGGAGGAGGAGGGGCGAGCTTATTCCCAACCGAGAAAACGAGGGGAGGGGGCAATCTATAAGTAAAAAACCATCATGAATTGGAACCCTAAAGAGGGCCACGAGGAAGGGCCGATGGGGGGCGGGATGCTGGGGAGGGGGGGGGGGGGATGAACGAAGGGAGAAGAAGTGTAGCGTCGACGATCGAATAGGATTACGGCGGAAGAAGAGAGGAGGAGGAGGAGGAGGAGGAGGAGGAGGAGGGGAAGAGGAGGAAGGCAGGCGAAGGAGGAGGACGGAGCGAGGAGGACGGAACGGAGGAGGCGGAGGAGGAGGAGCAGAGTGCGGGGACCGCGGGAGAGCGGCTGGCGCGTCGTGGAAGCTTTCCAGCGCCCGGAGCCCCGGCGCCCGCCTCCGCGAGGACGACGGTGGTGCTGCCGAACCGCCTGGCGGTCGCTGCCTCGGCCGCCCCACGAGCTAGGGCGCCGGGCCAGGGTGGGCGGCCAGGTAAGCTCCTCCTCCTCCTCCTCCTCCTCACTACTCCTCCTCCTCCTGCCTCCTCCTCCTCCTAACTACTACTCTCTCCTCCTACCCCTCCCCCCCCTCCCCCCACTCCGCCCCCCTCCTCCTCCTCTCCTCTTCCTACCTCCCTCCCTCCGCCTCCTCTTGCGTTCCCTCCTCCTCCTCCACCCCCCCCTCCCTCCCCTTCTCCGGCCCATCGCCCTCCTCCTCTCACTACTCTACCTTCCTTCCTCCTCTTCCTCCTCCTCCTACCTCACCTCCTCCTCCTCCTCCTCCCTCCTCCTCCTCTCCTCCTCCTCCCCCCCCCTCCTCCCCATCTTCCTCCTCCTCATCCTCTCCTCCTCATCCTCCTCCTCCCTATATTCCTCCTCTTCCTCCGCATGCCCGTCTATGGCGCGCTTCCCTGTCCGCCCTCCCTTGCCGCCGTCGCGCTCGCCTCACTATATTGTCCCCCCCCGTCGCCGGCCCCCCGACGGGCCACGCCCCAGGGGGGCCGTATTCCTGACCCTGCCGAGGGAGCCCATCGCATCGAAGATCTCTCGAGAAAGGGGTGCCCGAATTGATTGCCCCCCGCACGGGGGGTTAAAGAATACCCCCTCAGGCCGTGGCCCTCGTTGGCGATCGGAAGAGAAGCTCAGTTCAGTGCACGCGCCATCAAGGCCAATGATCTCCAGGGATGCCGAGATCGTAGGTGTTGGGGTCGACAGGCTGCCTCTTGCCTGGACGCCCTCCGCCGCAGGCAGACAGTGGAACAAGGGTCCGAAAGGCGGCTGGCCTGAAGCCACCTGCGCAATTTCCTGGCCAGCGTTAAGTCGGGTCTGTCCCCCTACAGGGGGATTTTCGACGAAAAATAAAAAATACCTTAAAAATAATTTACAAATAGTCAAAAAATAGTCTGGGGACTATTTTTTTGATATGTTTTGACCTTTTCGGGGTATGTTTGGGGTATTTTTTATTTTTCGTCGAAAATCCTTTTGTAGGGGGACACGCCCGACATAAGGCCAGCGTTCGAATTCAGTCAGGACCGGCAGGGCTGGCCGACAGTCGAGGAGGAGACCGTTGGTTGCCTGGCACCTCTGGTCGGGTATGGCCAGGACCCCGGGTAAGGGGACCCGGTTAGTGGTAGGGCCCCGGAGCCTTTGAATTGGCCAGAATCACTAAACCAGGTCTGCCATAGCTGGTGTTTTTTTCGGGTGGCGGCAGTTCCTGTTAGTGGAAATGGGACGGGGGGGCGCCCCAGGTACAGATCACTAAACCAGGTTCCGTTAAACCCAGTTTACCAACGCCCGATCTGGGCCCGCGCCAGTCCTGGGCGACCAGCAGGGGGAAAGCCCACGTCTGCGAGCGGCGGCCGGAGCGCCAGCCGCGGTCACAGAGTCGTTCGATGGGTCTCCCTGCCGCCGCCGGATCCGGTGGTCGAGACGTACCAGCTGCACAAGCTTGGCATCGCTCGGACGTGTGCATTTTTCCTTCGGCGAGGACCATCGAGGAGCTTCCTCTATCATTTGGCGAAAAAACCACGCACGAAACCGAAACAAAAACACAGGAAATGGACGTCCGAGCGACGGCAAGCAAGTGCTGCCAGAAAGACGAGGTCATTGATACGTCTTTCGCCAGCATCTGGGAAAGCACACATCGGGCGGAAGGTCCGAACAAGTGCCACGCGGTCGGCCCGTGAGAATCGTCGGAGCGACACCGGGCCAAGCGTGACCGGCTGGCGTACCGAGCCGCATTTGCCCGCCCCATCGGAGAGAGCGGGGGCGGCATGCCGTACGTCTCCAGCGTTAACATCCGACGAAGACATCTATACACCACCACCGCGCCAGGCCAGGGCCATCCTGGGCCCCAGGACGGCGTATGGACCCTCTGGGCCTCGGCCAGGAGGGCGTATACACCATCCTGGGGCGCAGGATGGCCCTGCCTTGGCGCGGTGTTGGTGTATAGATGCCTTCTGCGTGCGTTAACAACGAAGATCCCGGCCCTGACACATCTTCCGAGACTGCGACGCCGAGCGGGCTCGTGCAGCTCGCCGGCGGTGGGGCGGCGGCGCACCAAGCGGGAGCGCGGGTCGCGCGCCGGTGGCCCCCCCTTTGCTCCGGGTGGGCCTGCCGAGGTTTGGCGCTCGGTGCCTGGTTGGTTCCCGCGGTCGCGGGCGCCTCGGGACGCCCCGTGGGATGTTCGGGGGCGGAAAAGAAGGGGGTGATGACTAGGGGGGGGTGGATATCATGGCGTGGGCCATGATATTTCCCCAGATTTCGTGGCGCCTCTTCTTATTTCTTTACGTCCCTGGCCCCCCCGCTGGGCCGCGCACATGCCGCCGGTCATGATTTGCACCCCCCCCTCTTGGACACCCCCCTCTTGGCCGCTCCCGAGATGTGTTGGTCTGGCCAGGCTTCGCTCGGTGCCTGGTTGGTGCCAGTCGTATGCGCCTCGAGGCTGCCAGGAGCGTCGGGAGCACCACGCGGCTCGCGCCACGCAGCTTGCACTCCATATCATAGATTGCATCACAATCGGATGGCATCAGACAGCTAGCACCGAATTGATTACACTGCAGAGCTTACTGCACACCTATTGCACAACATAGCTTGCACCACATACATCATACCACATTGCTTACACCACTTATCTCACGCAACATCGATAGCTTACACCACAAAACTTGCACCACGTATCTTACACCACCTAACGTACGCATCAAGAGCACAATAACTCATTGCTCTGGGTCCACGCTGGCAAACATGTTCCTATCAAACTTCTGCTTGGCAGTATAAATGTCTGCCCGCGCGCACTTCATCCTCGTCTGCGCCAGCGCCAGCGTTACCATCATCGCCAGCGTCGTCATGATCACCATCGTCATCACCATCACCCTTGTCCACATCGTTCCCATCGCCGCCATCAAAATCATCGCCATCGTCGGTGGCTTCGCCCTCGTCATCAGCGCTACCATCATCACCCGCCCGCCCGAGTCAAGGATCTGCATGAGAAGTGTCACCGCGGCACAACGCCAGTTGAGTCGTGCCGAGTTTTGCCCGCATGTTGTGTGGGTGAGATATATGTTTGAGCGTCGGAGTTGACGACGAGTTTTGAAGGTAGTCGTACGCGATGTGGCCAAGAATTATTAGCACCCCTTAGATTGCGCCCCAGAGCTTTCACCACATAGCTTGCATCACACAGCTTGTACCACATATTTGGCACCACTGGTTTCATCCATTTGGTTGAACCGCATCCAGTGCACATCGTGAATGCAATGCTCCACAGTTTCGGATCCAAGCTGGCAAGCATAGTGACACATATCACGACCACGCTTCGGGACGTGTCTGATCATAGTGCCTGAACATCGCGGCGTGGTACTCGCGTGTATCGGTCGAAAGAAGTCAGTTGTCTCGGACCGACTACTGTCTAGCCACAGCTGTTTCGTTGCAGTTGGGTTCGCACGGCTTGGCTCGTACAGCACGTTCCAGTGGTATGGTATGGTGGTGTATAGATACAGTAAGACCTGATGATGAATCACCGAAGTTATCTGCGCATGCGATGTCCTTTTGTGCGTGCACTGCTTCCTTCAACGGTCATGGGGGGCCTGGCGGATCAGCCTCGCCCAGGCTCGGCGTGGAGGAGGAGCAGCAGCAGCGAGAGAAGACGCACGACTTGACACTTGTGCCGAGTCTGGTTAGAAGTAGGAATATTAGCAGCAGAACCGGCGGCAGACGTATCATCTGGAGGACGAGAACCAGGAAGAGGAGAGCGTCGCAGTGCCAGCAATAGCAATAGCAGCGGCATCAGGTCAGAGCTGGCGCAGCTGTGATCGCCGACGTCCCCGCCTTCAAGTCACCAGCGCCCGTAGGAGCCTGATGGGTCGCGTTAGCCTGCTGTCCACGTGCCCACTTGTCTTGCAGTGTTCCCCTTGGTGCAGCAGCCGCAGCAGCAGCATCGATGGCAGCAGCGGCAGTAGCCCACACGTTCATTTGTCCATGTGTTTGTTCTAAGTTGTCTACTCGTGGTCAAGTGATGCGCTGCGTGCAGCAACATCTTCGGCAGTAGCCTGCTTTTTCGCTTGCCAATGTGCTTGCTTCCAGGATGCCTTGTCGCTGGGGAGATTCGTTGTCGACACGGCTGGGTGGTTCGCATCAGTTGGTGTTGTTTGGGGGGGGGCATCGAGGTTGACATTGATTTGAGTTTGGCCAAAGTGACTTTATGCAAACAAGCAGCGCGGAACCCCGCAGAAGTGTGGAAATGGATTCATCTTCTCGCCAGGACTTCTCAGCGATAATGCACTTTCGAGAAATGCTGGGTAGTCAGCGCAATGATCGTCCATTACAGTTTTCTTCTGCACCGATCGCTGCCAGTGCCCCTGGTCTTTGTAAGGAGTAGTAGTTGCACCGCGGTTTCCTAAACTGCAGTTGCTTGAGCTGGTTTTCCCAGTTGCTGGTTTTCCCAACCTTCAGCTCTTTATCCGTTCCACTTGTCCATCTCAATGCTCCTCTCCGATCCCCTCCCCTCTTCATTGTTTCCCATCCTCTCCCCCTCCCCTGCTCCGCCCTTCTCTCATCCCCCTCTCTTTCCCATCCCTGCCCAGGCACCTTCCCTCCCCGCCATCCATATCCAACTTCCCCGCGGAAGGGAAGGAGGAGGAGGAGCTCCGAAGTGTGGCAGGAGCGTGGTCTATTGTCTGTCCTGGGCTTGCGTGGGTACTAGTCGTAATTGTAGGCGAGGGCCCATAGACTCGTAGACTCGTAGCTCCCCAATGTCTTGAGGAGCAGGAGAAGAGCCCACACATTGTCCATTGGCTTCGCTCCTTCGTAGAACTGGGAGCTAGAGAAGGAGAAGGAGAAGAGATGCGCAGTCTGGGTCAGCACAACCCCCTCGGTCGTCCACATGTTCTCCGGGGTCCAGGAGTGGAGCAGATGGGTATCCTCCTACCCCGATCGCTCTGCCATCCTTCTCCGCTCCACTCCCTCCCTCCATTCCTCCTCCCTCCCTCCATTCCTCCTCCCTCCCTCCATTCCTCCCTCCTCCATTCCTCCATTCCTCCTCCGCGCTCATCCCAGCCCCCATTCCCCTGGAAGAGATCACAGAAGCGCAGATTCTTCCTGCCCGCACGGGCAGGGATCCTGCGGGTGCACGTGGTCTCCGCTCGCAACATCATGAAGGCCGCTGCAACCTTGTGCCGAGCCTCCGATGCTTCTCTCGACGGTCTTCGTTCCCGTCCTTTTCTGGGTTGCGACGCCCGTCGTCGAGCTGCTCAGCACATCGGTTTTCGTCCCATACCGCCACCGTGCCTGCGCCGTGGACAAGGAGGCCTCTTGGATGCCCCGTGGGGCCTCTTTTTGAGGGTCTCTTGGGGGGCCTCTTGGAAGCTCTTGAGTGCATCTGGGAGCCTCTGGGGCCCTTCTTGGAGGCCTCTTTTGGGCCTCTCGGTGGCTTCTGGTGGCCCGCTGGCTGTCGCGGAGGCCATCCTGGGGTGGTCCAGATGGCAGTTCGGGTTCCCCCTCTTGGGTGCCCGCCCTCTTGGAGGCCTCGGGGGCCCTCGTGGGAGGGTCTTGGTGGCCTCTTGAGCCGTCCGTCTTGGGAGCCTCTTGGATATAGTGAACCCAGCGCGACCCCAGTTGGGGGACTGCTTCCTGTGGCATGGGCGCAGTGCTTGGCATGCTGCTTGGCGGGTTGAGCTTGGCATACTGCGTGGCATTGCGTGGCATTGCTTGGCGCTGCGCGGCGTGACAGTAGGGAGCCAAGACCAAGGAGCCAAGAAGCCAAGGAACCAAGGAGCCAAGGAGCCAAGGCCAGTGAACCAAAGAAGCATAAGACCAGGGCGACGGAGCAACACATCCAGGGAGGCAAAGGGGCCAAGACCGGGGAGCCCGAGGAACGCCCCTGGTAAGGAACCAGGCGCAGAGAAACCCCCGAGGAACCAGGCGCAGGAACCAGGCTGGTAAGGAACCAGGCGCCCCGACTGTAGTGAACCCAGCGCGACCCCAATTGGGGGACTGCTTCCTGCTGCATGGGCGCACTGCTTGGCATGCTGCTCGGCTGGTTGCTTGGCATGTTGCGTGGTATCTCGGCATCGCTCGGACGTGTGCATTTTTCCTTCGGCGAGGACCATCGAGGAGCATCCTTGATCATTCGGCGAAAAAAGCACGCACGAAGCCGAACAAAAACACACGGAATGGACGTCCGAGCGATGGCGAGGTGTTGCGTGGCATTGCTTGGCGCTGCGCGGCGTGACAGTAGGGAGCCAAGACCAAGGAACCAAGGAACCAGGGAACCGAGACCAGTGAACCAAAGAAGCATAGACCAAGGCGACGGAGCAACATACAGTCGGGGCCTTGAAGAAGGAACCCTTTTGGTTGGGGAGGGGCTCCGCGTTCTTTAAGTGTTTCACAGCTTGCCTCAGGTTTTCCTAATGTTTCCGATGGGAAATCGGAGTTGTTAACGTATGGAAAAAGGGGCCTCGTTATTTAGGGTTCCTTAGGTCAACGCCCCGACTGTATCCAGGGAGGCAAAAGGGCCAAGACCAGGGCACCCGAGGAACGCCACAGGTAAGGGAACCAGGGGCAGAGAGAACCCCCCGAAGAGCGCAGGCCGGCGCAGGGCCTGCACCCGCGGACCCTTTTTTCATGGGCAAACGGCAGCCCCGCAGGCAGACATGCACTCGGCGGCGAGCGAGGGGGGGAAACGAGAAGCAGGAGGCCCTCTCAGAAGGCGGCGGGACTTCTCAGATCGACTAGACGTACGAGTGACCTTTCGCCGGAGTGACCTTTGGTGCGGGCGCGGATGGGTACCCAGATGGCTGAAAACGAAGCAGTAGCAGTTGCTTGCGCACCCAGGTTTGGTCCCCCCGCGGCCCCCAAAAAGTCGCGCACCAAAGGTCACTCTTACCCAGGGTCACTCTTGCGTATAGCCGATCAGAGGGCCTCCGGCCTTCTGAGAAGTTTTTCTGTCTCCGGGGCAGGCTTAGCAAACTTCTCAGGAGGCTGGGGGACGTCCGAGCCTTCTGAGAAGGCGCGCCCCTTCCCATTTCCCCCCTGGCTCTCCTCGGCAAATATCGGGTATGGCCAGGACCCCGGGTGAGAGGACCCGGTCAGTGGTAGGGCCCCGGAGCCTTTGAGTTGGCCAGAATCACTAAACCAGGTCTGCCATAGCTGGTGTTTTTTCGGGTGACGGCAGTTCCGGTTAGTGGAAATGGGGCGGGGGGCGCCCCCGGTACAGATCACTAAACCAGGTTCCACTAAACCCAGTTCTGCCAGCGCCCGAGACAGCCCCGTAGGCAAATATTCACATGATGAAAACAGAAGTATGCGAGCGGGACACGACAAGGCCGAAGGCATTTCATCATGATGGCCCCTTGGGCCTCTGCCGAATGCCCCCAAGACGGCCCAAGGGAACTCCAAAAGATCCCCAGGAAGGTCCTTCGGGACCATCTTGCAGCATGTGGCTCCCAACCAAGCTCCCGACTTCTTTGGACAAGTCATGAACAGCCCCACCAACGCCAAGAAACGACAGAGCAACCCAGATACTCAGATGTATGACGTTTGTGCTGGCAGTATTCGTGCTTCCCCCCAGCAGCGCTCGCACCAAACGATTGCTATCTTAACTTCGGGTGGCCAGTTGGGTTTGCACCATTTTCGGCCAGTGGCCGCCTACAGTCGGGGCCCTGAAGAAGGAACCCTCTTCGTTGGGGAGGGGCTCCGTGTTCCTTAAGTGTTTCACAGCTTGCCTCAGGTTTTCCTTATGTCTTCGATAGGAAATCGAAGTTTAACCTATGATAAAAAGGGGCCTCGTTCCTTATTTAGGGTTCCTTGGGTCAACGCCCCGACTGTATCGGTGCTTCGTGTGCGCCTCGTACGAGGACAGGGCTTGCTGGCTTCCGGCCGGTGGCCGCCCGTGGGCGCCTCCCGGGCGCCTCGAGCGCTGGCGGGGTTTGCTGGCTTGCGGCCGTTGGCCGCCCGTGGGCGCCTGCCGGGTGCCTCGTGTGCTGGGTGGGTTTTCCTGAAGGTTCTGCACGAGCCAGCTGGGCACGGACAGAGTGGGTACAATGCCCAGCAGCAGTCCCTGCTCCTTTGGAGCAGGCCTCGCTGGCCGCGCCGCCGCGGCCTGTGTCCACCTGAGACAGAAGGCCGCCTGCCCAACAGCGGCCGCTGTTGGTTCGGGACAACATTTGTTGTTGGACATTGTGCCCGTTCTTTCGGTACCCGTTTCGGGGGTCCAAGAAGGTCGGTCCCCGGCCGTGGCCGCGTTGTGCGCTGGCAACACAGGTATACATATAACGGCGCACCGGGTCCGGGGGCCCGGGGCCGGGACCTCGACCACAAATGTGGGCACCGGGGGGCCCAGAGGCTCGTCGGACCGCCGGACGCCGTCCAAGATCGTTCGCAGGCGGCTTCGGAACGCGGTTCGATGGCTCCAGATGCCTTCCAAGACGCCTGTCATGACACCAAGAAGGTTCCAGAAGCCTCCAAGACGCTCCGAGAGGCAGCCCAAGAGAGGCCCAAGAAGCAAAAATCGTGCCATTCCGATTGGAAAACGTATATTTTTCGCATGTTCGCCTCTTGGGCTTTCACCGCGTCCAAGACGGCCCAAGAGGCGCCCAAGACCGCCCCAAGACGGCCCAAAAAGCTTCCAAGAGGGCCCCAGGACAGCCCAAGAGGGCCCCAAGACGGCCCAAGAGGCGCCCAAGATGGCCCAAGAGGGCCCCAAGACGGGCCCAAGAGGGGGCCCAGAGGGGGACCACGAACCGCAAGCTCGAGCCTTCCGCCCCAAGAGGCCGCCAGGAGGCCCCCAGGAGGCCCCTCAAGAGGCCCCAGGAGACCCCCAAGAGGCCCAAAGGAGGCCCCGAGAAGCCCCAAATCGGCCCCCAAAATGCTTCGAACCTGCTTCCAGGAGGCCCCCGACAGGTTCAGAGGCTCCCGAGAAGCTACGTCAAACTCCCAGCGAGCGGCCGGACGAGGCCCCCCACAAAATCACAAGAGGGTTCCAGTATTTGTATCCTTCAGCGCTCTCTGGCCTTCTTCCCCCTGCCCCCTTCCCTTCGACTTTCGTTGACTCAAGCTCGCCTCCTAGCTAGAACCTAAGCGCGCGCGAAGCGCGCGCGTGGTTCTTTCGGTACCCGTTTCGGGGGTCCAAGAAGGTCGGTCCCCAGCCGTGGCCGCGTTGTGCGCTGGCAACACATGTTCCATCTAGGCAGCACCACACCCACTGCAGCTCACATGTTCTCTTCCTTGCAGGATAGACTCCCTCCACCCCGGCCGCGGCCAGGCTTAGACTGTGCATCGAAAGCCGCGTATACAATGCGCAAGAAGCCGGCGGGGCGCCCGCACTGAACGAATAAGTGCAAGCGCGCGTTGCAGAGAATACGATGCGGGCTACACGCGCGCGTACAAGTAGAAATCAGTCCCAACCCATTTGGCGTCTTACGATTATGTTGTCCAAGGAGACAGTGTGGCGTACGCACGAGCATGTCGAACATATTGTAAAGCCCATCGCGCAATTTCCAACTCTTTTCCAAAAGCACGGTGCGGTTTTTTCCCGCTTGTCTCTGCGCGCTTGCCGAAATAATTGCAACATGTTTCAAATCCCAGGCAGTTCAGCATATATGTGTTCAAACATCTATGACCAACCAGCATTATCTCCAACAAATGCTATATCTCTTTCTGCGCTCGCGCTTCCTCGTCACACTCATTAGGACAATCGTCGTCATCACCATCATTCCCATCACCGTCACCAGCGTCGTCAGCATCATCACCAATTGCCTGCTGGACGGACTGCGTCAAGTCGGGGCCAGGCACCGTCGCGGCAGCGCGCCGTCAGGCTACCTGGACGGAGTACCTCGAGGCACGGCTGACGTCACCATAGGACGTGGCCGAGGGGCTCGGCAGCGAATGTGACAGACTGCTGGAGGTTTGATCTACGATATTTGAATGTGGTTGGACGTCTGGTGTTTTTTCTTGTCTTGTTTTGAATATGGTTGAGACCGCCGGAGGTCTGCTCCACTTACTCCGGGTGTGGCTGGGGCCGCTGGAGGTCTGCTCCACCTATTCGTGCATGTGGTTGAAACCGCTGGAAGTCTGCTCCACTGTTGTCGGGATGTGGCCGAGACCGCTGGAGGTCGACCCTTGTATGTCGTGAGTGTGGTTGAGACCGCGCGGAGTCTGCTCCGC